AATCTATTTACCAAAGTAGCAAACGAGTAATAGTACTCGAGCTGGTACAGCTAAAAATAAGCTGAGCTTTTATATGAAACTGGAAGCTATTTACCAAAGTAGCAAACGAGTAATAGTACTCGAGCTAGTACAGCTTAAAATAAGCTGAGCTTTTATATGAAGCTAAAAGCTATTTACCAAAGGTGGCAAACGAGTAATAGTACTCGAGCCAGTGCACGAAACAAAAAAAAAGTCCGTCTGCGCAACGCAGGAAGAACAAAATGACCAGCGAGTTTGTACTAGGGCCTGTGCACAAAAAGATGGTAACAAATCGCACAAGAAAGGTGTAGCAATAAGCTACGCAACGAAGCCAACGAGTATGTACTCGAGTTCGTGTACGATGAGAAAAAGCATTGAACTTACCACAGGTACCAAGTGTTGTTGTATGCGAGTGTGTGTGAGAGAGAGGAAGTACGCCCAACGCGCTGGCGTGCTGACCACGTCCGCACGTTGCTCGTGAAGAAGAAGTTGGTTAAGATGTCCGACTTCGTAACTCGCTCGTGGCTTATAATAAGCCGAAGCTCTTCACTCACTCTTTTGATCCGGCTCGAAGGACAAATGTTTGGGATTGAAAACCCAATGATTGTTGACTGTATGATTTGATTTACTAGTTGCGAGGGAAAAGAGTGGGAGCCAATTGCTTGGCTTTATTAAAAGATTAACACTTACACCTTTTTTTACATAAAAAAATAATAAAGTATATTAACAGCAGAAATTACAACACTTGATGAGAAAAAACTGAAAAACTGTGGTAAGTAACAAAATTACGTTTTTGTGCGCTAGTTTAAGGATATTGAACGAAGTTGAAGAACAGTTATTTTACTATTATAATTAAACTGAAAATGATGTTGTTTGAGTCACGCGAGTAGATTACACAAGACAAAATGTCTACTTGGTTGGTGTACACAGTGACCACACTGTGGTTTACTGGACAAGCGATCGGTGCGGACTGAGTACATGATCACAGGCGAGCAGTCGTGAGCAGCCAAAGTAACTTAAACGTGGCGCGCTATGATTGGTGGTCACGCAGGACCATTGTACGCACGCTATTGGTTACAAAATACCAAAGTTATTTGCTAGCGCGCTAATATACAAATTCTATATAGTTAATGTTTTGTAATACTAATTTGATGTTGAACAAAAGGCCACACGACCAAATTTTATTTGATTTATTTCTATCTTTAGAATAGGGGTAAAATTTCCTAAGGGAGCTGTTATTTTGTTGGACAGGTGTAGTGTGCGATCGATTTGTTCTGAAACGCCATTGTATTGAAGATTGTCTGGAGAAACCAGTTGAGACTCAGCTCCCAATCTCTGGGAAATTTCCACCGTTTGACCTCCTGCAAACTCTGTGCCTTGGTCAGTTCTATAATAGCACATCATCTCAAAGGCATTCTTTAAATTTTAGCAATGTGACACACCTTGCATGATGCAATGAAGTGATCGAACACAGACTTATTCAAATCTTTATTGTCCAAAAACTTTCTGTGCAATCCTTAAGATATTCTTACGATAAATGCCTGAATCTTGCGTTTTAGAGCATGGCTCTGCTATTTTTTAAAAGTATTTTATATCTTTATACAAAGGGACTTTAAGCCTCTGAAATCCCACCGATCATTAGTTCTTTACTATCATTAATTTTTCTATCTTCAATGGTTTTCTCAAACTCATTTTGTTGAGCGGTAACTAAACAATCGTTTTTAGATCCATTGTTTGGGCAAATAGGTCAGCTCTTACTATTGGTACTGACTTCCTGAACCTTCTCAGCCATTGCCACAGAGGCACATTCTATCATTAAGCAATCTATAATTTCTTTACGCTTCTTGTTGTTGCTTGTACTCTGACCATCTTGCACTAGTTTCACTATCCAATGAAGACTCTGTAGGCATCGAAAATTAACGTCTCGTTAGAGCGTGGGTTAAATATATCTATCTTAAGGTTGTCTAAATAGATACATATGCATCTATTAACAATCTGACGAAGCGACAGAGTTTCCAGCGAGCATATTGGCGCATATCACTCTATCTAGGACTATTTTGTTTTTGTTATTACTACCTAAAACCCACCTTTCTCCCTTCGCTCTCAAGTTCCCGGAGGAATTTTTATTCGCGCATTTAACCAATTTTCTTTCATGAATTTTTGGTTTCCTCCGTGCGCGTAGAGAGCAAAGTTTCGGGTCCAACAACAAACATACTACTCAATGCATTAGATTTAAGCAATTCTATATTAATTTAACCTTCTTTACACTTCACTTAAATATTTATAGGACAAGCCATTCTCGCTTTTAAACAGTCTATTAGGATCTGCAATTTTCACATCTGGTACTTTATTGACAATCTTATGGTAAAAGCCATCTCTTTTCTCATTTTCAAGAAAACTCTGAGTTTTACTTACAAGTTTAAAATCTATCAAAATCTGTTCGCGTTAGTATGACCTGGACAGAGGCGCGTTCGACACTCGCAGCTCAGTAAGTTGCCAATAGCAATCAGAGGGGCCTGAAGGGGGCTCACACGGGCACGCACTACTGCAACAATACCTTTCTTGACATTGAGAACTTACGAGATCCAGTTTGGTATGTGTATGTGTGTGTTAGCCCTACTCCTCGCTCTCTCTCTTTAGTCGAGACGGCTAGAGCTCCTTCCGAGCGAACGTCTCGATCTACTCTCTATTTGGAAGCCAACCAGGACGGATTCCTTCTCGCATTGCCCGAGTTCACCAGAAGTAGCAAATTAATGTTGTTGTTTTAGCCAGTTGTCGGCTCAAGAGATCACCACGGCCACTCTTTTCGCTTTGCCCGAGTTCGCCAGCCTCAGTCCAGGCATAAGTATTTTCGTTAGATTACAATTAAAATCGGCGAGATCGAGTTTCATATCGACTCGTCGTCTTGAATTTTAACTAACGAGATCGTGTCTCCTATCGACTCGTCGTCTTGATNCGCAGAGTTTGAAAACAGAGTTTTAAGGGGCTCGATCAACTTCAGAGACTTATCTTTATTCGATCTCAACGTGTTTATTATTATTATTTTTTTATTTTAGCCTTGATATGACATTTTCTGCCTTTTGATGTCTTTTTTAAAACCTGCCTCTCCCTTTCTCTTCTGACTTCAAGTTTAAATTCGAATGAGAATTGTGCTCGCGTCGTGATTTTCCTCGCGGCTAGCGACATTCTTCTAGTGCGATTGTATATATGTTTATATTGATGAATAAATCACGATTTTTCATTTGTTATGATTGTGAAGTAAGTCATCTTTATTTTAATATGGCTTTTTTTGCTACTATTAGTCGATTCGCGACTCGACTAACAAATTAATATAAAGTATTTGCCCAAGTAATTCGAGGCTCGCTAAAGGCATCCTCCTTTAGCGGAGTGAATTACAGCAAAATTTTCATGATAGCAGAGTGTGGTTAGTAGTCGAAAAAGAAAAAAAGAAAAAAAAAACGAATTTAATTAGTAAATGTAATTTCTTTAGCATAAAATCCAACATCGCATCTATCCAAAACAATCCAGAAGGGAAAGGAGAAAGCAGCCAGCATCGGCCAAGCAGTTATCGGTCTCCTCTTTGTGCGGGTTTTCGCAGACGGAGCCAACAGCGTCAATACCACAGATCCCTTATCATCGCCCCGCTGTGTACTCTCACAGCCTTTGTCTTCGGTCTGGATGGTAGAGTGAGCGGGGATGAACAGGTAGAAGCTGATGCTTGGTGAGCGCAACGCAATATTTTTCTCTCTCTCTCTTTCTTCAAGAATTGTTTTCGAGCTCGTCATTTGTCAGACGCGTCGACCTTCAACATTGTAAATATTGTATATTGTGTATATAGCATTTGGTGTTGCGATTAGCGTCGCGGCAGGACTTCTAGTTTTACTTCAGAGAGTTGCTTTCGAGCTTGTCATTCGTCAGTCGCGTACACCTTCAGCATTGTATATATTGTATAGTGTGTATATAGTATTTAGTACTTCGGTTAGCGTCGTGGCTAGACGATTGGTATTATTTCAATATCTTCCTAGCTTTGATAATCTAATTTTTCGTTTCCAAGAAGGATAAAATGCATGACGCTCAGTTAAAACTGAGTATTAATATTTAGAATTTTTATATTAATTCAACAACCAAAGTAGCTATTGATCTGCAAACAATCTATCATTTTGAGGCACGATTGGATATTTTAGAGACTTATCGGAAAACTTTCATGAGTCGTCACGAGGATTTGATTGAGTATGAGGAAGATCTTAAGCAATCCGAGTATTTTAAGGACGATTTTTATACTAATATTGAGATTGCACATGGGTTGGCTAAGGCCTTGATATTAAGTAAAATCGCGATGTTAAAGAAAATTGAGTCTTCCAATTCAGTTCCGCCGTTGAATGTCAACCCAACGAATGAAGCTCACACCTCTCTACCTCCCTTACAGCTACCAACCTTTTCTGGAAAGCAGGAGGAGTGGGAAAGCTTTAAACAGCGATTTTCATCTCTAGTCAAAGATAAGCTGAATATTTCGAATGTCGCGAAACTGCAACACTTAATGAACGCCTTACAAGGCTCCGCCGCGCAATTTCCCAACTGCATGGGATAAATTAGTACGTCGATATGACAACGTTCGTATCCGGCTTTTTAATAGTGTTGAAAGTTTAATACAGCTACCAACAGTCAAAGCACGAAATGTACACGATTTGAATGAAATCATGGATCGCGCGGAAGAAGCGGTACGATATTGAAAGACCTGGGGTGTCCAATCGAACAAACAAATTATTTTTTAGTGCATTGTGTCATCCGTAAGCTTGATTTAAGTTCACGAGAATCTTGGGAAATTTCGCAAGAGGCCCAGGAAGGGTTTTCTAATTACACTGACCTAACGCGTTTTATTGAACGCCGCGTTCACGTGCTAGAACAAGCACATAACGACACTGATTCAGTAAATACGCGTAACAAGCAAATTTCTTCTCAAGTATCGCAAAATCATGGAAAGCATGTATATGCTCATGCTGCTCAATCAGTCGACAGTAAAGAGAAAACCTCTAGTTATTCCTTACGTAAAGGAAATCATGTGTTAGGTCGTTGCATGAAATTCAAAGCGATGTCGCAAAGTAAGCGGCTTGAGTTAGCTAAAAGCGAGAAACTATGTTTGAATTGTTTAAGACCTATGATAGAAATACCTGGTCCATTCGGGCACTTATGACCCCGCCGCGGAGCGTTCATTCATCGCACAACACATTGTATCTGATCTCAGCCTTGACTGGAAACACGTCAACATTAAGGTAATCGGTGTAGGCGCAGAAACTTTGTCTAGGGCAAACAAAGAGGTAGTACTAAATATAAGCTCAAGTTGAACACTCGATTTTAAATTGAACGTGTCTGCATTAGTTCTTCCTAAGCTTTCGCAGTTTTTACCTAGTGAGAGAGTAGCTTATTCGGTTTGGCCGCACATTAGGGGTCTTGAACTGGCTGATCCTGATTTCGCAGAGCCTCAAAAGATAGATTGCATACTTGGTACTGATGCTTACTTGGCGGTAATTCTCAGCGGTCTTACTCGAGGACCTAAGAACACCCCAGTAGCTCAGAATTCAGCCTTCGGTTGGCTTCTGACTGGTCCAACGTTAAGCCATTCTTGTAGCTGCCATACAGCACAAGTGCGTGCTTTCCACGTACACACCGAACCTCCTATCTCGGAAAACCTTCAAAAGTTTTGGGAGATTGAGAAGGTGCCCCGTAAATCCCTACTGACGGAGGACGAGATCTATTGCGAGAAGTTATTTGTTCAAACATATTCACGTAACAAGGAAGGTCGTTTTGTAGTTCGATTGCCTCTTCGCAGCAATCCTGAATTTATAAGCTCCCGAGATATTGCAGTGGCTTGTTTATTACGCTCTGAAAAGCGTCTTCGTAGCAATCCAGACCTCGCAGAATCGTATTGTAAATTCATCAAGGAATACATCGAATAATAACACATGAAGCTTGCTTCGTCAGAAGAGCTTGATCGCCCGTGTTATTATCTCCCGCATCATGCTGTGATACGACCTGAGAACCCGAGCAAGATACGTCTTGTCTTCAACGCGTTACAACGGACTTCAATCGATCTTTCATTGAATGATCACCTGTTGCCTGGCCCCAAGCTTCAGGCTGATATTCTTCAAGTAATAACTCAATGGCGCTTTTACAGATTTGTTTTCACTACAGACGTCGTGCAGATGTTTAGACAGATCTTGGTGCATGCTAACGATATGGACTGGCAACGAGTATTATGGCGCTCATCAACTGATCAGCCCATTCGTAATTATAAGTGTGTTACAGTAACTTATGGCACATCATCGGCCCCATACTTGGCTCTAAAGGTCATCCAGCAGCTGGCAGTGGATGCCACAGAATCTCACCCACATGCGTCCGAGATATTACGACACAAGCTCTACGTCGATGACCTCTTCGCAGGCGCTGACACGATCGAAGCAGCACAAGAGTGCCAAGATCAACGTATACAACTTTTGGCCTCCGCTGGTATGCTTTTGTCTAAGTGGGCAACAAACGATTCAAGGGTTCTGCAAGGTCTAGCTTCAGTCTCAGCTAAGGAGATAAGTTTGAAGCTCGATGAGGTAATATCAACTTTAGGCCTGAAGTGGCTACCTAATCTTGATGTCTTCACATTCACCACAAAGCCCGTCTCTGGTAATGGAGAAGACACTAAGCGATCTATCTTGTCTGTGATTGCTCGTCTGTTTAACCCGCTCGGATGGTTGGCCCCGACAATGGTAATTGCCAAAATAATTTTACAGGATCTTTGGCTCAACAATCTCAACTTTGACTCACCGGTGCCTGAGGCTATTAATCATCGCTGGGCAAGCTTTCGTAATGAGCTCCGAGAAGTCTCGCTCATACGGATACCCCGCTGGCTCGGAGGAAGAGAGAAGGACGAATGGCACTTGCATGGCTTTGCTGATGGGTCAAAGAGAGCGTACGCAGCAGCCCTATACGCAGTGACACCAGGCCAAGCTGTGCATCTACTCTTTGCCAAGACCAAGTTGGCTCCCACGAGGGTACAGACGCTCCCCAGGCTCGAGCTGTGCGGCTGTACTCTCTTAGCTCGCCTGGTCCAACACTTGCTGGAAAATATACCAACAAAGCCAATCAGTATCAACTGCTGGACAGATTCTATTGTCGTCTTGGAGTGGTTGAAGAGTCATCCCTCTCGATGGCCTACTTTCGTGGCTAACAGAACCAGCGAAATACTCACCGGACTGCCTGCAGCAGTGTGGCGGCATGTAAGATCCGAAGATAATCCTGCAGACTGTGCTACACGTGGCTTAACTCCGGCTGCTCTTGCAAAGTACGATATTTGGTGGAGGGGACCAAAATGGCTGATACAAAAAGAAAGTATCTGGCCTTCTCTCACATCGCCCCAGATGCCTGACCAAGTGAAGCTCCAAGCCTCTGCAATTCAGAGAAAGCCGCCCGAAAATTTGAAGCAAGCTGTGAACCCTGAATGTCTTCCGTCGCTTCAAAAGTTCTCCTGCTTTGCCAAAATTATCAGGATTATCGCCTACTGCTGCCGTTGGCGCTTACGTACCGTGCATAAGCAATTGATGCTATCCGACGTGCCTCTAGCAGGCGAGGAGCAGAAATTAGCAAGGACTTATTGCTTTAGAGCAATTCAACTACAGCATTACCAAACCGAGAGGCAAAATTTGGCTGATGGTCAAACTGCCTCAAAACGCAGTCCATTTAGTCGGCTTAGTCCCTTTCTCGATGACCTAGGCCTCATTCGAGTAGGAGGAAGACTCTATCACTCGTCGCTGCCTTATAGTGAGATGCACCCAATCATTCTACCAGGCAATTGTCAATTTGTAAGGCAACTCGTTGAAGAAGCGCATCGACTTACGTTGCACGGAGGAGTGCAATTAATGCTGTCGCATCTGCGTCGATCTGTGTGGATTATCAGAGGGCCACGAGTCGCCGCAGGAGTGCTACACCGATGCACCGTCTGCACTCGTTTTGCAGCAAAAAGTAGTGCACAGCAGATGGGACAACTACCAGCAGCTCGAGTTACCCCTGCGCGTCCCTTTGCACACACAGGTGTGGATTATGCAGGACCCACCTGGATCCTATTCTTAAGAGGACGAGGCGCCAAGTCTACAAAGGGCTATCTTGCAATTTTTGTTTGCATGGTTACCCGTGCCGTGTACATTGAAGTAGTGTCCGACCTTACCACGGACCTATTTATTGCGGCTTACGCAAGATTTTGCGCGCGACGAGGCGTGTGCGATGTCCTGTATTCGGATAACGCCACCAACTCCAAGGGTGCGGCCTCAGAGCTCCAGCGGATGTTCAGCAGATCATCAAACTTCACCGCCAGCCTGATCGAGAGTGTGGCCACTCAGGGCACGAACTGATCCTTCATACCGCTACGAGCCCCTCATTCTGGAGGATTGTGGGAGGCTGCAGTGCGCAGTGTAAAGTATCACCTCACTAGAGTCATCGGAGAAACAAGGCTAACATTCGAGGAGCTGTCGACCTTATGCGCCAACATCGAAGCCTGCCTAAACTTCAGGCCGCTTTGCACTCTCAGCAATGAAGTCTCTGCAGAGCTCACTCTTACGCCATCACACTTTCTCGTCGGTTCTGCGTTACTGTCTCATCCCGAGTCTTACGACGAGTTGCAGCAACCAATTCGGCTGAGCAGTCGCTGAAAGTTGCTGTCGGACCTACGCAACTCCTTTTGGACTAGCTGGAGAAAGGAGGTACTCTACCAGCACTTAAAGCGCAACAAATGGCTAAAGCCCCAACCCAATATCGCCAAGGGCGACGTCGTTATTATCAAAGACGAACTCTCACCCCCAGCTAAGTGGCCCTTGGGATTAGTTACCGCTACACACCCAGGTGCTGACGGACTTGTACGAGTCGCTACGATCAAAACGGCCGACACCAAGTTTGATCGACCTATCGTTAAGCTTATAAAATTGCTTGACGAGCCAGAACTGAATGAGTGTTTCAAGGACGAAGTGAATTAGTGCAACAAACTGTATTAGCTTAATGTTAGCGAAAAGAAAAGACTGATTGCGATTTTGGTTTGATACTGTAGAACAATTTGTTGAAAACAATATGTAAAATCACTACTAACTCAACCGCAACGTAGCTTTGTGAGTAGAGTAATTTACTAACATGATCAATGCTAATTCGTCTCTTAATTTTAATTTTATTTAGCTTATGAAACTTTGATTGATGTGTTTTTTTTGTTTTGCCTTTTTTTGACTAGCTTATATTGTAATACTGCTTTGTACCTAGAAGCAGTCTAGGGCCAGCTCTATTCGAAACTAGGCTATCCTATCTCGTGCATTATTTTTTTTAATTTTAACGGCATTCCGCCAAGGTGGGCGGAAATGTTCGCGTTAGTATGACCTGGACAGAGGCGCGCGACACTCGCAGCTCTGTGAGTTGTAAATAGCAATCAGAGGGACCTGGAGGGGGCTCACATGGGCACGCACTACCGCAACAATACCTTTCTTGACGTTGAGAACTTACGAGATCCAGTTTGGTGTGTGTATGTGTGTGTTAGCCCTACTCCTGGCTCTTTCTCTTTAGTCGAGACGGCTAGAGCTCCTTCCGAGCAAACGTCTCGGTCTACTCTCTGGTTGGAAGCCAACCAGGATGGATTCCTTCTCGCTTTGCCCGAGTTCACCAGAAGTAGCAAATTAATGTTGTTGTTTTAGCCAGTTGTCGGCTCAAGGGATCACCACGGCCACTCTTTCTCGCTTTGCCCGAGTTCGCCAGCCTCAGTCTAGGCATAAGTATTTTCGTTAGATTACAATTAAAATCGGCGAGATCGAGTTTCATATCGACTCGTCGTCTTGAATTTTAACTAACGAGATCGTGTCTCCTATCGACTCGTCGTCTTGATTTAAGCGAACTTTTCAACAATTCAAGTTGAATTGGTTCAGCTTCAGCTTCTTAAGCCTGGCTTGTTCAAATTTGAATGAGAATGTTGCTCACGTCGTGATTTTCCTCGCGGCTAGCGACATTCTTCTAGTGTGATTGTATATATGTTTATATTAATGAATAAATCACGATTTTTCATTTGTTATGATTGTGAAGTAAGTCATCTTTATTTCAATATGGCTTTTTTCGCTACTATTAGTCGATTCGCGACTCGACTAACAAATTAATATAAGGTATTTGCCCAAGTAATTCGAGGCTCGCTAAAGGCATCCTCCTTTAGCCGAGCGAATTACAGCAAAATTTTCAAAATCCATTTTAGTCTATCGAGGAATTCGCAAAATTTAGTATCACTTTGCTTTGCGGGATCAAATCTAACAGTGTGAATTTTGCTGTATATTTGATACGCCTTCATCTGTATAACACTTCTTTTCATATTATTAATTTTTGCACTGTTACCGTAGGATAAATAAAAAAATACTCTGTTTTAATCATCTAAGGATTATCTATCTAGTATTTAATTTAAAGTCTGCTCTTTATCTTCAATCAACTTTTGAATCCCCTAAATATCTTTCTTGTGGGCTCCTGGCTCCTTTAGTCAATTCTATCTTAAGATAATTATTTCTGCCTGCCATTTTCTAATGCAAATTATGTATCTGTTTCTTTAAATTATCTTTTCTATCGTTCAGATCTTTTAACATGCTATCTATAGTTTATGTATTAATCGGATCTTTTTTTTATTATTTTTATTTGCTATCACTTATTCAGGTTTATTAATCAAAATCAAATTTGTCTTTCTTTTTCAAATATTTAGTGTGCTATCTTGTTAGAATAATCTTGTATTAATTAAATCTATCTTGCTATTTTTCAAAGCTTTAATTTGCTTTCTTGATAAAACAATCTTGTATCAATCAAGTCTATCTTTCTATTTTTCAAAGCTTTAATTTGCTTTTTTGATAAAATAATCTTGTATCAATTAAATCTATCTTTCTATTTTTTAAGCTTTAATTTACTTTGTTGATAAAATAATCTTGTATCAATCAAGTCTATCTTTCTATTTTTCAAAGCTTTAATTTGCTTTCTTGATAAAATAATCTTGTTTCCCCATTTTAACCCCATTTGTGTCACCGGGAAACATGAGCAAGCACGCACACACGAACTCAATGCATGCGCACTACCCATGGGACGAGATACATCAGATGACTTAAACATGCAAACGTAACATGTCTATAGTCATACACAATAGCAGCACAATTCCAATGCGATCAAGCACAATCGTATGCCTGTTATTACGAGGTGCTGACGCGCATTACACAAAAATTAGAAATTTTAAATTTCTGCATTTTGGTTTGAGTCGGCATTTACCTCTAGTCTGAGTGTGAAAATCCACGGAGAGGATCGAGGCCGCACTATACGGGGACTTGGAAAAGTAATCAAGTCTATCTAAGATGGCTGCTCTGTGTGCACCATCAGCTACCAAGCCTGCTAAAAGGAATACATACGCCTGGTCTGACCGAACACAAGTCATGGCCGAAATGAAAGTCCCTCTCCCCGCTTTGAGGCGTCCCCCTCAGCGGTAGGTATAGCTGTAGCAGCTAAATGAAAATCTTCGTACCCCAATGCAAGCCTGCCTCACGCGAGGAAAAATAAGTGCTGACTCTTGACCTCTGCAAATTACCGAGTACTAGCTTTATTAAACACTTCACAAATCCTATCTACTGTCATATTTATCATATCTATAACATCTATTATTAACACTCTTATACAATTTTGGTTTCGAAACAACGAAAAACTAAACACATTATGTCAACATAACGACCGATAAAGACACTATAAGTATCATTATCAATTACTTACTTGCTTTCTTACTGTGAATTTTTCACAATCTTTCTCACCCCGCCAGCTGTCACCTCCACGATCTGCTCGGTCTCACTAGTGACTGATGTCAATCTTTACGCCACCTCGTCGATGGCCTGTAAGAAAAAGGGCGCAAGAAAACGCGAAGGGCAAAAAAAGAATGCGAGTAAACGCGAGATGGGCTCGATCACAGAGAGAAAAAAATGGCGGCTAGTGGAGGTCTTGAATACATAACCACACTACACTTTTTAAGGCCCATAACCTGTTAGCAGTATGGATGTGTGGGTATGTGATCGGGCAATGAAATGTACAACACTGTCGTTTTTATTATAAAACACGGACACGTTTATTCTTACTATCTTCAGTGTATGCTATCTTTAGTTTTTACAATCAAGGATACAATCGTAAGCTGAACTGAAATAAAGCAAGATCAAATCAAAGGGAAAACACGAAAAGCAGGGAGTGCGTGTCGACAAACTGACTGACCGCGCGAGAGTGAGTAAACTATAGTTATTAGACGCTGAAGTGCAGCGTCACGGCGTCTCGTCTTCTTTCTATTGCGCATGCGTTAGAATTGATTTACTAGCGCCAAATATACATTTAACATATTCATTAGTAGTGTAAAAATTAGATCAGTTGAACATAGAAAAGTGTCTAAGTAAGAAAATGATAATAAAATAATCTTCTTTCTTTTTACATTTGTCTGTTAGAAATTAAAATTGTTTTGGAAAAAAATCACTTATTGTGATGTCAGTTAAAATTGCGTCTTATTTACGAGTTTTAGCACACAGTCAACTAGTCACGGACCTCTTGTACAAAATTGCTTTTTCAAGCAATGTTGAAACTACAAAAAAAAGTAAAAAGTCGATTTGACTCTATAAAAAATAGAAAAATGTTTAAAATGAAAAATGTTGGATTGAAAACCACGTATCTTTATTTATTCACAAACTAGAAATTATTTAACATCTGAAAAATTGAACGTAAATTTACATAATTTTTTTAAAAGTAATAGTTTATTACTTTCTGATGCAGATTGATTACGACTCTTATTTTCATTGTATTCACTTCATCTGGCTTTAATGTACTCTAGACGTAAGTCTTTATGATAATTATGAGCTTTTAACCTTGTTACATCCGTAATGTCAAGTTTCTTTATAAGGAATTCAATTATTTTAAGATTCGAATGATAGCTCATGATAAATGTTCAATTCTGCTATGAATTCTGAAAAAATTACCTTCGTTTAGTTTTCCTGCCAAGATTTCATAAGTCAGCAGATGTACAATACTAATAATTTACGTTGAAAACATGAAAGTGTGTACAGAATGTATGTAACATCGCATGTTAGCAGTGTTGTTTAACAAATGTTGGGAATATAAGATGTACTATACATGAGTGATTATAAACGTATATATATGATGATTAATAATCATTCTCGAAGAATTCTTCATGCATTACTATATAAAAATTTATGACATGTTATATTTACATTCCAATTTCATTATACCTAAGATGTTATACCGCATCCAAGTAAATGTTATCATACTTTCTCCCTTTTACCAAGTTTTTATATTTACTTGTACAATATTTTATTACCAGAGTATCGAAGTCCTATAGTCTCATCTCTTCTTACAATGAATACAAATATATATATATAATTTCATCTATTTAAACAGCTAGAAAATTGAAGTAATAAAAGTCAAGATTGTGATGGAAAACTTATTTCTTGCTTAATGGATTCTTTATTTGACGATTTTGACGCTGCTATTTCAATCTCGATGAATATTCTGCGTCAGTTTCTTGACACCAAAAATCGTTTACATTTAAAACATTTTAAATTTTCTTTCAAATTCGCCTTCTTGTGACCATAGGCAAGGTTAAACTTTTGTGAGCCCCATAGGCTGTTTTTTGTCAACCTTGTTGGGTTGTAACATTATGTATATATTGGTAAGGTAGTTTGACGTTGGATGGCTCCAAATAGGACCGGTGAGCTAAACTCTTTCTTGATTGAAGTTTCTAGGAAACGTGATTGCCTGCAAACCTTAGGATGGTCTTCTGACCTGCTGTTGCAGCACCAGACTGTTTGGGAGGGAAACCACAACCCCCTGAAGCCTTAGAGGTAGTTGTAGTGCTCTTTCCTAACGTCTCCCGGTGTAACGCCAGAGACGTTGGTGTCCAAAGCACCTTTTTTCACAGAGATCGATCATTTTGGTGATCCAAGAT